TTGAAGATCCCGAATTACCACGGCTACTCCAAAGTTCAGCTTAATGGCACCCTCTAGAGGAGGTGTCAATTCTACCAGACTTCATTCTTCCTAATGGAGGTATTAGTCACAGCTAGGCAATTTCTCCAAAGATCATCAAAGGAAAAGTCAGCAAAGAAGTTTAATATTTTCAGCCAATGGATTGCCCTTGTCAAAGTACATTCCTCCACCGTAGAGAGACTTCTTTCCTTTTCTAGGGAAATTTTGGCATTCCTTTCTTCCCAAATAGTCTACAAGAGAGCTGTTCTGATACATTTCCACATAATTCTCTCTCTCCACGTGGATCACGTGTGCCACCCAAAAGTAGACGGATTAAACAACATACATCAGATGACAAGTTCCACCTACATCCAAACAAAACAAAGATCCAATTCCATAAAGCTGCAATAAAAGGACAAGATATTAGTAAGTGGTAACAATCCACATTCTAAACTTTACAAAGAAAACACCAATTAAGGGATAGACATAAGGTTTCTTCTTTTGCAAGTTTTCTGAAGTACTAATCTTACCATAGTAAACTTCCTAGCAGAAAACAACAATTTTGGGGAGGGGGGATAGGTCTAACCCAAACTTCTATAACAGGAAACACCCAAGGAACAGAGATGGAACTGAGGGATTTGAAAAAAGAAGCACAAGTAAAGGTGCATTTTGGGATAGGGGTCCAAATTCTTCTATCAATTTTGGTAGGATCCAAGAAGACAAAATCAAGCAAAAGTAAACTCAGAAGCACAAGCAGACTCATCATCCCTTAACTCCCTACGAAAGTCAAAGTCCCAATTTGAAGACAAAGGAAGAACTGAAGTAGAGAGAAAATTAGAGATTGGCTCTTTTTTATTACATGAAAGAGAGTAAAGAGAGGGGAAAAGATCTTTGAGGGGTTGGTTACCCACCCAAACATCTTCCCAAAACTAAACAGAAAAACCAGAGCAAGTTTCATACTTGACTAAACTGAGGAAATGAGGGAATACCGTGTATAGCCTTCCAAGGTGTTGTGAGAGTAGCCCAACAAGATATCTTGGCATCCCAACCATCCTTTGAACAGCCATGAATGCTAGCCACCACCTCATGCCATAACTTCTCTCTCTCTCTCTCTCCAAAGGCCATCTCCACAACCACTTTTCCAGTAGAGCTCCATTCTTATGAACTAAATTCCCTATCCCAAAAACCCTTCTTCCTTGCTTCAACCAACTACCTCCCATCTAATCAAGTGATCATTTTTCACTTCCCCTAGTTCCCACAAAAAATCCCTCATTACCTTTTCTAATTTCTTAACCCCCATTAGAGGAATCGTAAAGACTGAAAGGAAGTAAATTGGAAGGTTGGCAAGTGTGACCCTAATCAAAGTCACTCTACCCGTTATGGAGACAACTCTTTTCCAAGTTGCCAATAGTTTTTCAAATTTTTCCACAATAGGAATCTTGAACCAACTCTCTTTAGGATTGGCACCTAGGGAAAGACCTAAGTAGGTCAAAGACCAAGAGGTGGAACAATCTAAACAACCTGCAATAGACCCTACCTCCTGATCCTCCAAATTTATTCCAACCACACAGATTTTTTCAAAATTGATCTTCAAGTTGGATGCACTCTAAAAGAATTTTATTGGATTCTTAAGATTTCTCAC